CTGTCATCTCGCAGTGATGGCTGCATTAAAAACCCTGCCCCTGAGACAACGCAGCCGCCCCCCTTGGGGAGCTACCCTCCTGTGCGATGCAACCTGCCTTTCTTCCAGAGTGTGGACTCCTCTTCCTCGCCCACTGCAGAGAGAGCTGGAGAGAGCCAGCCTCCCAGGAGCAGGTCCTGTCCCGTCTCTGCCAGCTTGCTTCCCACGAGGTCTTCCCCAGCTGCCAGTGCCAGGCAGTCTGCCAAAGCCACCAAAGGTGATGCCCTGAGGCAAAAGGAGAAGCCTAAGCCAGTTCCCAAGAAGGAGGTACCACTGGAGCCAAGTCTGCCACTCTCTGAGTACCGACTCCACAGCGGATCCCTCCTGCCCCTCTCAGCAGGTGGTGCACCCATGAGCAGAGGGGGAGGCCCTGCAGAGCCCCACTGGAGGAGTGGCAGCGACACCAGCAGCTCTAGTTCCCTGAGCAGCATGGGCATACGGCCCCTCAATGGTAGGTACCCATCTGCCAGGCCATGCCAGGCTGGGAGAGCTCCAGCACCCTGTCTGTGGTGCTTTTCTGTACTTCCACCCTCCTATGTAGGCACAACCTAGGGTGAAGTTGCCTCTGGGACTGCAGTGCTCTACAGTCCTATCATCAGTCTGCCTGCAAAAGGAAGTCACAGGCCGAGAGCATGATCCTCCAAATCCTGATCCCTGTGCTGTGTCTCTGGAGAAGGCAGTATGGGGCTGCCAATCCCACAGGTCCCTATGCCAGGTTCTTGTGGCCTAAAACTTGCTCCATCTGTGCCCATAACTATGAGGCCGCTCAGCTGTGCCAAGCTGTGACCTCCACTTGTCTGTCATGTATACACGTTAACGTCCTGAAATGCTGCTGGACTGTAACTAACTTGTTGTCTCTTTGTCCTTTCTCCTCATCCTGTCTCCCTGTTTCCCCTCCACTGTTCACATCTTCCCGCATGGTGCTCGCTGCCTGTGGTGTTCTAGCAAACCACCTATCCCCTCAAGTGCTGAAGTGGCGGGAGTGCAGGCAGAGGACCCCCTTGGGCCTGGACCATGTTTCTGGGCTGCCTGGCTTAGCAGGCAGCCTAGACAAGAGGAAGCAGGAGTCCCAGCTGAACCGGGGGGACCCCATCTTTGAGGTCCCTCTCAACATCAGCCAATTCCACTGCAGGCTGAACGGTGGGCACCACCTCTTTGCTGGGGGTATCTGGGGATTGCCTTAGGACTCAGGTTCAACATCTCAGACCTCATATTTGCTCTGTCTGCTCAGAGAAGGATGCTGCATCTGGTCACAGGGATGTTGAGGAGTAGCAGAAGAGGGTGAAGATTGGCTCACTGATGGGTGCAAGCTATGTGGGGCATCCCTTTTCCACAAGATGAAAGTAGTCCATTCTGGCTCTGGACCAGATTGAAGGTCATGGGGAAAATGAATATCCCGAGAGCCAACTCAGACCTCAGCAAGTGGTCCTGGACTGTGTCCAGCTTGTAGCCCATTTTTCAGCCCTTGGAGATCTAATGTCCGAGTGTCCCAGGGTGTCAGTCTATCTGCCCCAACCCTGGCAGTATGCTGTGTGCTGAGCTTCAGCTCTTATGGGGTGGCTGGCAGTAGTGTGGGGTTCTGTCCTCTCTTTCATGCTCTGTCATTAAGGTTTTTCCCATCCTCCAAAAACTCTGCAGGAGGGGTTGTGAGGAGCAAATTGCTTTTGAATGAACCTTTGCAAGTCCTCTGGGCAGAGCCGTGCGATCTGCCTGTGGAAGGGAGAGTGTTCTTGAGGTCAGCTCTATATCATGAAGCGAGTTTCTCAAAACTTTACAACTTGCACTGCCAACCCCAGCGGTTTCTCCATCCCTCCTTCAGTGTGAATCATCCAGATGGAAATCTAGCATATGAAAGTGCTCCTGCAGAAGTCTGCCTTTGGAGATGGAGAGAGACGATCCCAAAGGATAGGCAGAAGGCACATTGCTTACTGTCTGTGGTTGCCTGCATGTGACAAGTAGAGATACTCTTTGTGCTCTGCTTTTGACCCAGTTCCATCCCTGTTGAGACTGTCTGTACAGCTGTCCTGAGAGTCTGGTGAGGTTTTCTTCAGAAGCAGCCAATGATTGTAAACCTTCCGCAGCATCTTCCAGTGAGGCTGTCCCCTGCCAAATGGAGCCCAGATGTTGGGGCTGAACTGTAGAAGCTTGTGTGAAAAAGCACTGCTGGGGGAGTTACGAGCCTGTTGCCTTGCAGAGGAGTCTCAGGCTGGAGCATGCTAATGTGAGGACTATTGCTGGCGCGGGTGCAGGTTGCCCCTGAGAAAAACAACAGTGTAGGAGAGCCTTTGGTGTAAGGGCTTAGGGCTGATCCTTCTCCTCTCTCTCTTGGCTCTGCAGGACAGTCCATGAGGCAACTCCAGCTTACCTACCCTGACTTCTTCCCAGACTACTTCTCGCTAGCAGAAAAGCCCCCTGCTGAGTTCTGCCTCTCGCCAGATGGCAACACAGAGTCAATCTCCATCGACTTGCTGCAGAAGAAGGGTGGGTCCATGCCTCTTGTTTGGGAGTGACGGAGTCTGGTGTGGCAGAGTAGTGCTCATCTCTGCCTTATCTCATCTCTGAACAGACATAATGGTTTCTTTTCTTGCCCTTCTTTGCTGTTGGTGTCATGCTGGATGTCCCCTTGTACTGACAGCTGTTTCCATGGCAGGCTCGTGTGTTCTCTGCACCATACCACCAGCCATGGAATATGTTTGAGGTGCTTGTCCCAGGATGTATGGTGAGAAGGGATCTTAAGTCCACAAGAAAAAGGTGAAGAGAGTAGGCAGGCACAGGAACGTTACCCTAAAGCAGGGCATGTTGCCACCCTGTTGCACTATACAGGAGTTAATCTGAGGATTCATGTGGTGTTGCAGATGTTTGAGATTTTGTAAATGAGTTAAAAGTTCTGTTGGGTTCTAAGCTATATGTTGAAGTGTTTATATAAATGAATGGGAAAAATAAACCAGAACAGGGTATGGCTGTGATGGGGCCTATGCTAGAGGCAGTCTTGGGTATGAGATTGTTGACAGCTACCTCTGTATCATGTCAGAGAGAAGGGATGTGCAGAAGGGTTCCTATGCCTTTACCCAATCTGTTGGCAATTACTCAATGGCAACCTTGCCCCCTATTTGATTTCTGTTCTTGTATCATGTTGATCCAGCTGTCAGATGACCCACTGCTGGTTTGTTACTGAAAGTTATTGCATAGCTTGCCAAATGCATGGCTCCTGCTTTGTCTCCATGCAGGATCAGGGCATTGAAGGACACTGTGCCTTGTACTCATCTCTGCTCCCACAAGGGATGGTGCATGGAGATGGTATCTCATTCCTTGGAAATCTCAATGGTGTCTTATGTTTCAGACACTTGTAAAAGTCATCTCTACTATCAAATCAGTATTGAGTTAGGAGAGGCTCTGCATGTTTTTGGCAAAGAGGAGACATAAGCTGATCTTGGAAATGCCCCTGCTCGATTTCTTCATGAAGTGTTTGGCTTGGGTCTGTCCTAGAGGCCTCCCAGGCAGCTTTCTGACCATGTCTTTGCCCTCTAGGTCTGGTGAAGGCAATCAACACTGCCATTGACCTGATTGTGGCTTACTTTGGAACCAGCAGAGATCCAGGGGTGAAGGTAAATGCTGCTTTCTCTATGACTTCTCAATGTCATGAGTGACATAGAGGGTGGATAGCGATTGACTTTCCATTCTCTTCCAGCACAAAAACTATGGGCCATCAAATGACACTAGTAGCACTAAGAGCAGGACAAACAAAGGTGGTGGTACATCATGCAGCAGGTAGTAAATCTGTGGCCATATTTGCAGCATGATGCTGGAAGTGCTAAAAGTTTACATGAGTTTAAGGAAACATTGGTCCAATACAGGGAAGAGAAATTCAGTAGGTCTGCTGAACACACAGGAACCATGTCCAGCTTAACAGTCCCTGAGCTGAAAGCAGTTGTAGACTGAGATAGTGTTAAAGTATTGTATTTGTAGTTCTGGTTTGGCTTTTTCTTACATACTTCTTTGTGGCCCTTAATGAGAGGATACCAGGCCATCTGGACCTCTGGTCTGAGGCAATACAGCTACTCTTTTCATCTCATATAGCAGAGAATTATGTCTCCCTCCCCAGCCCTCCCGGTGATCCTGTTCATGCACTAGTACTAAAAAGTGCAGTGCAGTGTCCCCAGTCCCTTGACATACCACAGGTCTCCATGATTATAAAATGTGCTTCTGTCATTGTTCATTGGTGTCCTTCTCTGATGCCTTTCCTGGGAAGACCTGTGTTGGTTCTGTGACAGAACCCTTGAGATGCCTTCAGTAGACAGGTGCCACAGTAGCTGAGTCTGCCACAGTCTTTGCTCTACCTCTATATCAGAATTTGTCTTGTTGTGGGGCTGGGGTTGAATGGAGAAACAGTCTGTGCTAGTCATGGGACATCTGGAACAGGTGGGTGTCCCCTGTGGCCCTTGCCACAAATTCTCTATATCTTCAGAGTGAATCTAAACTGCCTGTGAGGCAGGCTATCCCTGGTTTGTGCTCCCTTTGTCTCCCATTTCTGGAATAACACAGGCAGAACAACCTCACTTCCGCCTGTACCAGCCATTGTTTCTCAGTCCTGTGACAGTCAGCCTGGCTGTGGTGCCTCCTTTCAAAGTTGAATATTCTGCTTTGCTCACGGGAACTCTAAAGCAGAAATGTTACACTGTTTAGATGTGACGACTGCCCTGGAGTGCCATCTTCCAAGAAGAAACTTGACTATGACAGATTCCAAACCCTTCAATCATATCTCAGAGGCCCCCTAATCACAATTGTTGCTGTTGCAGAGATTGTTGTGTAGCAAAACTGGAGCTGTTTGGATTTTCTGACTGTATTTCCACAGCTTCTTACAATTTCACTGTGAATTTCCTAGGCTTTCAGTGTTGATCTGGGGAAAAAAATGCAACATTTTCATATTAATTTATTGGCAGACAGTGATGTACCTACAGCCTCCACATGTTTTTCATATGGGGTTTCATTATGCCTCAGTGTGCCAAGGCCTGAGCATACACCTGTCAAAAGGCAGCACCCATCCCTGATGTTCTCATACTCAATGAATTTCGCAGGATTATTCCTGACCCAGAAGTTCAGCCTCAGTTCAGGGCCTCTGTGGACCTGTGCCAGCCTCACAGTGTAATTCTAGCTCAGCTGGTAAAACCTGTGCTCTCAGCCCGACTGAATGATGTGCAAGGCCTGGGGCTGACCCTTTTCGATTGACCCCTTGACCACTTGAGAACTGCATGCAGCAGAATGTGTCCCTGCTCTGCTGATGCTGGGCTCTTAAATGCTTCCTCATCTCAACCCAGACCCTGTCCAGTCATTTTGCCTCCACCCTGTTTATTTATAGTAATCCCTAGGAATTATAGCTTGGCATGTCACTGAGTCAAGTGTTCCTTAACTCCTCAGTGCAGGAAGTTGCAGTTGGTGCTTCCTGCTTCTAAAATAGTAGCAAGAAAAGCTTTTACAGCAGCACAAAAAGTGCCTACTCTTTTCTTCCTCCTGCAGAACAGCCTTGCTAGATCTTCCTGCTATATATGCTATAGTGAGAACTAAAGACATCCTTTCTAACTAGGATATCCTCTTACCAAGCTGTTGTTTTATCTCAGACTGGAGTAGACACTGCAGGGAACAGTCCAGAAGAGGGGTGTATGTGTGAGGCAGCAGAAATGAAGAGCCAGCTTCTTAGTTTCATTTTGGCCTAGATATTGGCCTATTGGGTGTCTGCAGTAGGCAAATGGGGCTAGACTGTTTGCATATATCAGTACTCCACAGCAGAGTTACCATCATTTCCCTCTTCTATCTTTTCCCTTAGGCCAAGCTTGGGAACAGCTCTGTGAGCCCCAATGTGGGGCATCTCATCTTGAAATATCTGTGCCCTGCTGTCCGGGATATCCTGAGTGATGGGCTCAAGGCTTATGTCCTGGATATGATCATTGGCCAGAGGAGGAACATCCCCTGGAGTGTGGTGGAGGCATCCACTCAGCTGGGTATGGAGACAGGGCTATGATCCCCTTTGTTCCTCAGCACTGCTGTGCTGTACCTGGGGAGGTGCTGGGGAAACTTGACGACACCCCAAATTATAACTACCCACAGCACAATTCCGTGTACTTGCTGATTCTGAACCAAGGGTTGTAGTCCCCTCTGAAGTAAGGGACACGTCCCTGGGGTACTTGCATGCACTGAAACTATCTCAATGTTTTGAAGTGACAATCTGTGACAGACTGCGATGCATCTCCCTTGTGGAGTCCAGCTGTTGGAATAGAGTGAATTTGTCCTGCTCATCAGCAGAGGAGAAATGCCTGAGGCAGCAGGGGCACCCAAGCCCTTTCTCCCTTTCCCTGAATGCTTCTTCCTATGGTTCCATTTTGACTTTGCTGTTCAAAACTAATCCCACCATTGTGCTTATGTCCATAGGCCCCTCCACCAAGTTGCTGCACAGCCTCTACAGCAAGATCAGCCAGTACACGGAGCTGACCAACCACACCATGAGGTTCAATGCATTCATCTTTGGCCTTCTCAAGTAAGCAGACTCCTATGACTGCATGTCATCCTCCAAGGCAGGCAGCAAGCATTGTACCTCACCCCCACACAAGTGTAGTTGCCAGTATAAATATTTTTTTTAAAATTGGACGTGGTCCCCAACTGTGTATGGAAAAATGAAGAAGCTGTGAGTCTGAGGGAATTCCAGAGGGATCAAAACCTATCCCCACCAGGCCAGGACTGAGAGGGGCTGGCTGCAGACCACTGAAAAACAATCTCAACTTGTTTTAGCCCCAAAGCATTAGATAGGAGAAATCTTTCTGTCTGGTTTCATGTAGGAGTGGAGATAATGTATGCAATTTAAATTACTCATGAAAATTCCTGTGTTGCTGCTTCCCAGGGTTGCAGTGAATCCCAGTATGTGAGGCTGAAACAGAAGTTTTCCTGGTCCAGGACTGATCCTTTCAGTCTGGAGAGCAGTGGAAATACTCAGTGCTAAACAGCAAGTTGACAGTGATGTTCCCTGTGTTGGGATGAGTGATGTTAGGATACTATTTCCCTGCTCCACTCCAGTGGTCAGTAGGAGCTGACACTGGCAATGGAGTCCCCAAGATTCCCAAATGTTGGGAGACTGCTCAGTTATGCTCTGCTCACCATGTGAAGGGTGGCCCAACTCTTCTCTGTAGACATTGAATGCCAGCATTTTGGGGGCTAAACCTGAAGCAGTAGTTTCATGTTTGTAGATAATTTGTCTTTTCCATATGAGCCCTGCTCAGCAAAGCTAAGTTTTGCCAAGGACAAAGGCACTAGATGGGGAAACTTGCTGGAAATGTGTCTATTAGGGCCCATTGCACAATGCCTCATTTTAGAGTAAAAAGGGAAGGATGGCTCCTTGACATGCTAGGTGGCTGTGGTCAAAGCATGCTGATCAGTGTAAGCCACTGTCTTTTCCTAGGTCTTGAGGTTCACAGGGATGTGCTGTGTAAATGCCCTTTTCCAGCCACACTTCCTGTAGAACAGCAAGGATGAAGAGGGTGAGGGGATTTTAACTGCTTCTTACCTGCTTGTTTTTCCTTCCTGCAGCATCCGGTCCTTGGAGTTCTGGTTCAACCACCTCTACAACCATGAAGGTAAGAGCTTGAGTCCTGTGTGGGCTGGAGTGGACACCCTATTCTGCATGATGTGAGCTCAAATCTAAGTTCTAGCGCTCCTTTTTTTTCCCTGGTGATCATTCAGCCTATATTGCTCTCTTCTGCTCTGAGCTGAAGGAATAGACTGTGCCCAACCCCAATGTACAAGTTGTTGGAGGGCTGTTCAACTACAGGGAGGGAGGTGGAAGTTGTAGCCCCATGCAGGTCCATGCACCTGAGTCTGGTCAACCATGTCCTTCCCAGTTGCAGCCAGTACCCAGCCAGTACCACCTCCAATGCAGACCTCTCCATCTGCCCTCATGGGATCTGGTGCCTGTGTGCAGATCTGACCCTCCTTAAATTTCTTTATTTTTTTGCAAATTTCTGCCCAGCACCTAGGAGTCTGGGATGGCTGGAAGTGTAAACACTTGGCTGAAAAACTTCAAGCATGGGAATGGAAAGGAACAGATGAACAAAGAACAGATTTTACCAGTTGTGTGGAGTATTGTTGTTGTTTGTTTGTTTGTTTGTTTTTTAACTAGAAATGTATCTAGAGTGTGTAGATACCCAGCAGCTCTGACCAAGCTGCCTGAATCTAGAAGCAGCATGAGTTAAGTGCTAAGTGCATAGTGAGACAGAGATGCCCTTAACATGCTTGATGCACTGTGAATACTGCAGGCTCAAGTCTAGAGCCCCTTGAACTGCAAAAAGAGTCCAGCCTAGTGTCTTCTGGCAGGCTTAAGGGATGCTCACATTGCCAACTGAGTGTGTACAGTCAGCACTTCTCTCTGGAAGAGCCAGGAGAGCAGACATACCTTTGTACTCAGAAGTGGGGCAAGAGACACCACTGTTTTTCTGAAGCAGAGAAGAACCCTTACAGATCCTTTTGTTCAGTCTTTTTTCAAGCCAAAATTAAGAGATGAAAGGGTGAGAAATAGCTAAGGGTCTCTGGAGACTGAAGGGTGAGCAGAGCAGTAGGAGACAAGGTGCAAGTCGTGTCTGTGGTATAAGTTTGTTATCCCACTGGGGCCCAATGACCACAAGCCCTATGTTCAACTCTGTGGTGGAGAGGTGGTCAATTGTGGTACAGATATGGCCAAATAAAGTGTAAACTGAATGCTGCAAGTGGAAAGAGGTAATTGATTTTCTGTTAGGACCCACAATTCAACCCAGACAGTTCCTGATACTTTCCTGCTGTTGGGAACTGGTATTGGCTTGGTTCTTGCAGCTCCCTATTCATATCTGGGAAGCGGAAGAAGAGAATCTTAACATGTGTCAGCCCTCTTTGATGTTCTTTATTCATACCCATACCCACAGCATTTGTGATAGATTTTTTTTCTGGTGGATAATCTGACAGGCAGATCCTGTCAAAGTTCAGGCTGCAAGCAGAATGGGAAGCAACACCTGGGCCCTTGGTCTGCTCACAGAACATCTGGTGCTCCCTGACTAGTGGTGCAGTGCTGAACCTCATGCTGCAACCACAGCTGTGACCAGAAACTGGTGTTCAGACTCCTTTCTCCATAGTTTCAGTAGTTCTGTGGTAGCCTGGCAGTGGGCAAAGGTGGTGAGGGCCTCTGATCTAATCACTGTCTCCTGTCCTGCAGATATCATCCTGGCACACTACCAGCCAGTGGGCTTCTTGTGCCTGTCTCACAGTGTGTGTCAGCCCCTTTTCGAGGAGCTTCTGCTACTGCTCCAGCCTCTCTCTCTGCTGCCCTTCAACCTAGACCTCCTTTTTGAGCACCACCTGATGCAGATGGGCAAGGAACAGCAACAGCAAAAGGAGCTGCTGCGTGTGAAACAGGACCTGCTGCTTTCTGCACACTCCACCCTGCAGCTGATGCGGACACGAGGCAGCAGTGAGGATCCTGACGGCTGCAGCACTGCTCCCGAGGCGTGTAAAGCAGGTGCCACAGATGGGGACCTGTCACCAGGCCACAGCCCTGACCAAGTTGCAAGGGAGAGAGTCAAGGGGGTGGGGGCCTCCTGTGGAAATGGCGACAGGGAGGAAGAGAGGACGGTGGGAGACAGCACCTGGGAGGGGAAGAAAGACAAGCAGGCAGGCTGGTGGTACCAGCTCATGCAGAGCTCCCAGATTTACATTGAGGGCTCAGCCGAAGGCGCCAAGCTTGTTTGCTACGAAAAGAAGAAGGCTTTGAGTGCTGTGCCCAGGTCAACTGAGACTCACAAGCCACCACCCCGTGCAGGGGCGGTGGAGGGCCTGCCCCGTTGCGGAGGGCACTTTGGAGGAGAGGCCTAAGGCTGCCAGCAGGCCAAGCCCCGAGGCTCTGGTAGAGCCCCCGAAAAAGCCCCATCAAGCACCAGACAGTGAAGAGGCCAAGGAACGAAGCTGGCCCTTCTGGATGGGCAGCCCCCCAGATTCGGTGCTTACAGAGCTGAAGCGCAGCAAGGAGAAGGAGGCTGGGATTCAGCAAAGACTGGAGGCAGCAGCAGCAGCAGCCCCTTGGGAGCAGAGCAGCACCAATGCATCGGGAGGCAGCCAGCCCATCAAGTGGGGACACTTGTTTGGGTCCAGGAAGGTGCAAAAAGAGCCCAGACAGCCCAACAGGTAGGGACATGAAAGGCTTAGGGCCAGGGACGGCTAGTTAACCTGGGATTGCCGCGGTGCAGGTGGGAATCAGGCCATAGCCTTGTCCTTTGCTACACTACAGCAGTACATCAGCCCTGTCTGCCTTCATTCCACCTACACCACTGCTCCCTACTGCTCTCACCCTTTGTCTCTCCAATTCTCCCTGACCTTGACCACTGCCTAGACTCCTAAGCCCCTCTCTGGGGCAAGGGAGAAGAGGCCTTTAGTAGGGTTGCTCCATCCCCATCATCACCTTATCCCTCCCAAAAGCAGACACAGCCCATGAGGAGGAGGTATGAAGTTACCCGGTGTACCTGGGGTGTGTACACAGGGAATGAACTTGCCATGGAGCAGCTGGCCCCGTTCTCTAGGCA